AGGTTTTGGTTTCTTGCTAATAAAGTACATTCCAGTTAAGCTTGTCTCGGCATTCGTTACTGGATGGAGGAGGGGGTCAGAACAGCTATGTAATAGTATTCATGTGGTTATATGTTCTGAAAATGAAAAAATAAAAAACTTCATATATATATAAAAAAAGTGAGTGCCAAAGCGCAACAAAGGCACGAGCGGAGCAGCCGGGTGCTCACTTATGGAGGGTCTTAGCAGGATGCAAAAGAATGTGGCTTCTTTGCTGCACTAAGGCCCCAGCCATCACCTTGCCGTGTCCCATCCCCCCACCCCCGGCAGCTCCTCAGTATGGAGGGTGCAAGTTCCAGCCTGAAGCGGCAGGAAGCTAAGGCTGCCTTACGCACAAATGTGGTGTGAAGGGAGCTACTACACTACTCCGCCAACCCTCCTCCTCCCCCCTCCTCCTCCTCTCATGGTGGAGGGGGAGGAATAACATGGCAAGGTGATGGCCGGAGCCTTAATGCAGGAGAGAAGCCATGTTCTTTTGCATCCTGTTAAGACCCTCCTTAAGGAAGCAGCCACCCGCCCCGCCTGTGCCTTTTCTGCACTTTGGCGATCGCTTGAGGGGTGTCTCCCCATGCACGCACACACCCTCCCGGCTGCACAAAGCTGCTACATGGGGAGCGTGTGTGTGTTCTATTCTATTCTATTCTATTCACATTTTCATGTCCTGTTCCTGAAACCAAGAAGCCATGTCCTCCAACTCTTAAAAACATCCAATAGTCCAGGGGTCCCCAACCCCTGGGCCACAACTTACTACTGGGCCTTGAGTCAGAGGTGAAATGCTACCGGTTTGGGCTAGTTTCCTAGAACCGGTAGTAAAAAATGCTAAAAATAATAATAAAAAGTTCCAACAATTAACTGTGTGACAATCAGCTGTTCCTGCTTGCTTCAGGGGCCATTTTGTGTGAAGTCCAGCTGCTTTTACATTGTGTGTGAGTCAGTTGTGTAGCTTTTGTGTTACTTTTGTGTAAAGTGTGATAGTTGGTTTTTGAGCTCTCTGTGACTCTGTGAGGTTCCTGCTTGTTGCAGGGGCCATTTTGTGTGAAGTCCAGCTGCTTTTACATTGTGTATGTGTCAGTTGTGCAGCCATGCCCACCCAGTCACATGACCACCAAGCCACACCCACCTGGTCACGTGACCACCAAGCCACACCCACCAAGCCATGGCCACAGAACTTGTAGGGAAAATTTTTGAATTTCACCACTGCCTTGAGTCTTTCAGAACCGGGCTGCAGAAGTGGTGGGTGAGTGTCCGTGTTTATGCACGTATCCCCACTTACACGAACAGTATGCAAGCACATGTGCGTGCACTTCATTTCAGCATAAAGTGATCATGTGTGCCTGCTGCTTGTGCATATGGAGCTGCGCATGTCCTCACCCACTGCTCATATGAAACCATCCCCTCTCCCCCCTGCCAATATGGAAAGCCAAAACAGTTGGGGAACTCTGCAATAGTTCCATGTCTGTCTTACCTAAACATCTGACTCTCACTGGGAAAGTCTTCATCTGTAGAGACAATCATCAATCTTTGAGTTCCTTCAGTCCCCAATACGGTTGATTATTAGCATGTACCCTAGGTCTTTCTTTTCCAGGATTCAGGAAATGCTGGGCAATTTGGAGTCTCTGTTTATATTTCCTACAAGCCCCTTGAGCATCACTCTGGAGCATTGTGGGAAACTATCCTGGAATAACCCTCTTTCTCTGAAGCCCCTGAGAATTACTGTATTAATACAGTAGAGTATATAATCATGAGATGATACCCAGTTCTCAAAAACTGCCGATGGAGCATTGGGATTGGTTATGTCAAGGAAAATATGTTGCTATATGAATGAAAGCCATTTTAAGAAGTATAAGTGGTCCCAGACTTATGACTATTTGTTTCATCACTGTGCTGAAAAAAGTGACTTACAACCAATCACAGCATCCCCGCAGTTATGTGATCCCAATTCAGGCGTTTGCAACCAGCATATATTTACAAAAGATTACAGCATCCTGGGGTCATATGATCACCATTTGTTACCTTCCCAGGTAGCTTCCAACATGCAAGGTCAATGTGGGAAGCCAGATTCACTTAATGACCATGTGATTTGCTTAATGACTCTAGCAGAAAAGGTCATAAAATCAGGCACGGTCATGTGATGACTCACCTAACAAATGCATTGCTTAGTGATGGAAGTTCCAGTTACCATTGTGGTCGTAGGTTGAGGACTACCTGTGTTACATTAACAATTTTGCATGGAGAGAAATATAGAGGATGAAACCCTCATGACCCGACAATCGCGCGATAGACATATGCGCGCTGACAAAATAGCGCCGATTAAAACATGACGTCAAAATCGCGTCGACAAATTTGCGACGATAAAATCCCGACAAGAAAAGCGCGATGACAAGCACAATAAAATAGAAAAAAATACTGTTGTTAGGGTTAGGGTTAGGGTTAGGGTTAGGGTTAGGGTTAGGGTTAGGGTTAGGGTTAGGGTTAGGGTTAGGGTTAGGGTTAAATAAAATCAAAAAAATTACTGTTAGTTTGTTGATGCGATTTTGTCGTCGCGCTATTGTTGAAAATCAATTAGTGATTTTGACGGCGCTCATTTGTCCGTCGCGGTTTTGTCGGCACACATATGTCTATTGCGCATTTGTCGGTGAACCAAAACCCTATATTTGAGGGTCCTTGGTGCTCTCTCAGCTTGTTTGATTTCTTGCAGATGTTACATTACCCAAATGAGGTAACATCTTTTGTTACAAACCTATATTAGAAGCCGGGTCTAGGACTGTTCTCCTCCTACCCTTCATCCCCAGGTTTCCGCCCCCAGCCATTAACCTCTACCCTCTCGCCTCCTCTGTTAGGACCCTAGCTGTTCATGCCGGCCAATGGAACCATGCCTCTTTAGTCCCAGGCCCTTCCTCACAGGCTTTTGGGAAAAACACTGCTCACCCTGGGCTTTTGGGCTCAGGTGACAGTTCACCGCAAAGCCAATCAGAGGAAGGGAAGGGAGAAAGAGATGGGGGGGGGGGAGAAAGTGTTCCATGTGGAGTTTTCTCTCCAGGGGTTTGTTTCTCCATCCAGTTGCCTTGGGTCCGAGAGACAAAATCCTTTGCATCGGCCACAGGAAAGTTAAAATCATGACTTTCTACTTGTCACAATTCCTCAGACTCTTTCTCTTACTTTTATGCCAAAGCTCTTAATATTATAATTANGGGAGATGGAAGGGTCCTTATGTTGTAATCATGTCATCTCCACTTGCCATCAAGATCGCTGAATCCAAGACTTGGATTCATTGGACCCGCGTTAAGAAAGCTGCTGAGGAGCGACGGGCCATGCGACCAAGTGAACATCCAATGAAATTAAGGTTCACTCGAAAATGACTTCGGACTATATCCTTTTTTGCCTTGCTGTAGGTGTAGTGA